CCCTTGTTCTTCTCTTCTATCTATTGCTTGCCTTCTTCCCTTGTTGTTCCTTGCATTGTCTGAATTTAAGCTGAAGTTCCTTGGAGCAGAGACCTGATAATTACTGTAAATATTAGTCCTGCATATACGTGCATATAAGTAAATCTCATGTTTTGGAGGAACATTTGTGGATATTGATATGACCATGGATAAACTGAAGGTCATTATGTAGAGAGCTGAAAGCACCAATGCCACTTCAGGGGGCCAGCAGCCTCTAGCCACCATTACTGACATTAATCACTTAACATAACCATGACCGCTTCTACCACTTTGAGGGAAAGCACCAAAGAGCCAATGCCACCAGCATTTTCCCACTCAGATATAGAAGCAGAACAGAGGTGATCATTGTTTTTTTTATGTTCTTTCAAGAGGGACTAAGCTCTCATCTTTTAACCTTTTACTCAGAGAAGGTGATTATTCATTTTTAAATAAGATTTAAGTTAAAGATAGTACCTACATTAATCCATAGATACATTGTTCCAGGTTTGGGGGTCAATTTTTGATTAGCATGTTTAGACTTATACATGCATATATGCAGTACATTTTTCATAGCTCAAGTGAGGCTATAGAATTTAAATGAGTCAGCAAACTGCACTGAAACTTTTCAGATTAAAAGAAGAGAGAGGATGAAATCATCTTTTAACATTTTGTTTTCATTACTGATAAGAACCAACATCCGTGAAATGTTCTCATTATGATGGGTCACATTAGGCAATACTAATCTGAGTACTGGAAATGATGAATTCATAGTTCCATTCCTGCAGATAAAACACACTTACTAGAGCAAGGGTTGGAACTGTGCCTCCCTCTAGTTGTTGTTGAACAGCTACTTCCAGTAACTTTATATAGGATAATCAGTGATGAAGAAACCTGAAAGCCATAACTCAACAACTGGATGGTCATACGAGTCCCACTTCTGTACTGGAGAGAAAGTCCCTTTGAACATTGTGGGATGACATCTATAAGGCTGTGTCAGAACAGATTTGTGGTGGCAAAGGCTTTCAAAAACTAGTGCTCACTACATCAGCTTTGATTCCTAAAAGTTAACACTACAAGAAATCACTTAAACTTTAAGGTACTTTTTCAGTCTAGCATGTCTGAGCCTTTGGAAATAGTAAGAGTTGTCAACTAATTAATGACAATTAGACTGATTGGTCTGAACATTTAAGCTGTTGGGTATATACATTTTTTTAAAAAAAATAATGAAGTGTGTTCTTTTGTGAAAACAAGCCATTGTCTGTGTGGGAGGGACGCCTTACAAACAATATGCATTACTATCCCCTCATGCACAGACTGGATGTCCACTTACCCATCTTCCAAAATACATCCTTCTCCTCCTCCCCCCCCCTCCCGCCCTCCACACACAAGTATTTATGGATCTTTCTGGGTCTTCCAGTACTATTTCATTGTATGCTTCCAACCGAAGCATAGTCAAAATGTAGCATTTACTATTATCAACAGTTTCAGGTAGCCATGGAGGTTTTGGAACATATTTCATAGGATCATAGAATCATAGAGTTGGAAGAGACCTTGTGGCCCATCCAATCCAATCCCCCGCCAAGAAGCAGGAAAATCACATTCAAAGCACAGATACAGGGCTCATACTCTATTCTCACATTGGTTTAATGCATGTCAATATTTTCAGTGATACCTAACCTAAAATATGAGGTTAATTATAGTTTAGTCTAATGCTTATTTCCATGGAATTCCAAAGAGATGAACATTTCATAACACACAGTTTTGTCCAAAACAATGACTGCCAATCAGTTTCAATAATTTCTATGAAAAAAAAATCAAATAAAAAAAAAACTTTCAAAGTTTGAAAAAAGTAATAAAATAAACCCTATATTGTCTCTATTGGCAGAACTTTAGAGCTTTCATTTGTACTTTAAGGCTTCACCATGACCTTTCACAGTATCAAATTTATGGCTATATGTGTCCGTTCTACTTCAATTGCTTTGGAAGTTTTAATTCTTTAGAAGGAGATGACTTTTGTGTTGCCTGTACTTCTCAAAATATAAGTGTTCCCAAGGACAGCTATTCCCATGCTTGGTAAGTCATCTAGTGATAAACCTCAAAAAAGTAAAATATATCTCCTTCAAAATTTTATATCTGGCCTTCAGTTGATAAGACTTGCCTATTTCTGATACCTTAAATAAGCATGGGGGTTTTCAGTGAAAGTTTAGCTTTGGCTCAGAGTACATGCTTTGGAGGGAAGTATATGTAAACAAGGACCAATACACACCTATGAACTGTGATTGAACAATACCTTGCATACTTAACAGAAAATATTTCTATTGGTACATTTTTAGTTTAAAGTAAATAGTTGTATCAGTAAAAGAAAGAGCTATTTTTTAAAAATCTTGGGAATCATGGTATGAGCTTGGGTAGATTTTAAGATCCAGCATTAGGTCACATATTAATTATATATTAATCTACAATGCGAATGGATGGAGTCTCATTTCTGAGTACAATAATGATGTCCTTAGCAAATCCTATTTCTGAGGAAAATCAATGCAAGAGATGGAACTTGAAGGCTCTAGTACTTGGTTCTCACCATTCACATAGTAGTTTATTGATGTAAGAACTGCAATCTTAGCTATTAAGCCTGTATTTATGTTAATACCAGTGATAACTGAATAAATATGGAAGCTGAAGCCAGAATGTTGACTTGAAATTATAAACATATAATATGCTAATTATTAGCAAAATGCTATTACAGGTCAAATACTTATTTCGGACCAGGGGAGTTATATCTATTACCAAAGAAAGGGAAAGTCATTGAAATAATATCAATGACTCGAAGAATATTTCAATTTGTAAGGGGGAAGAGAGAGAGACTGGATCTAGACTATATCAATTGACTTATACTGTATCTATTGGTCTTTAATCCCAATAGGATCAACAGGACAGCTTGCTGATCATGACTAATTAAAGCATGATAATATAATCTATATGTTAACTCCACATCTACAGTATTAACAGATAAGAATGATGTGTGCAACCAGTAGGGTAATGCTGAACCCAGCTCTTTGGTACAATTTGGGACATTAGCTTAGTTTTTAATAAACATAATGACTATATATGGTTTTATCTCTGTATTCATTTCTTTATAAAGCTACTCAACCCTCTTCATCATTACATCCCTCATATTTCACATTTCTAAAATTGCTAAATATCCATTTTATTCTGAACTTATTTCAACCATTGCTTTACAGCAATTAACCACTGCATGTAAAAGGACATATTTGAAGCATTTAACAGAGGTCCATATAACTCAGAGGTGTGTTGTCTCAAAAAGTAAAGGCAATAATCACAGTAGATATCTGAGGTTTTGTTATTCTGGTTAATTTTGTTCTGGGAAAATCTTTGCTATATTTTTCTCTGAGTGTTGCTTACTAAATTGTAAGAGTGACCTCTAGTGCTTTGCTGCTTCAGTATATTTCTTGGAATCCTATTTTGCTATAGATTTAAAATGCCTTTCCACAACCATCTGTTTTAGTTTTGTGCTTGATACCAAAAGTTATTAATGTGAGAATCATTTATGAGACCTATATGAGTATGAATGGAGTCATAGAGTCCATCCAGCAGAGCATTGAAGAATTTAAGCATGCACACACACACACACACACACACCGAATTTGGATAAATAGCAGTGGGCCCCTTTTTTATTCTGTTCTGGAAAATCTGCACTTGAATGTCAAATGACATATCATGACAGAACAACAATAAAAAGACCAGCTTGGTCCCACTGAGCAACTGTCAGTTATATGACAGTCTATCTCAACCTCAGCCTTTAAATCTCAAAGCATATGATGAAAGCTCAGCACTGCCACTTTCATTTCTCATTTAGATGTTCTCAAGGACCTGTCCCTTCCAACACTGTTTTAACGTTATTCACGAATTCCTACTAGTCCCGGCACTCAGTACCTCCAGCTATAATCACCACTAGGTTCACTGATACAGACAGAGGCTTTATCAAAAGAACTCTGCAACTGTTAAAAGAATATATTGGACACCCAATTGATATGTTTAATGTAAAATTAAGTATATGGGGCATACAGAATACCTGAGAAAAACTATAATGTACATCCTAATGAACAGTCAATTCTTAGTGCATAACACATGCACATACACACACAGTGTACATACCAATAAAAACCACATCTGAGTCAGAGTTAGAAACTGTTTATGCAGATCTATGAAAAGTACTTGTTTTCTAGCACACTCACTCACTTACATTTTAGAATCCCATTCTGGGTTGTTTTTCTATCTAAAGTAATGGTTTCACTATCATTACAGAATATATATTTATATAAAGCTACATATAAGCAACCTTTACAATGCTGCTACTGAAATCCACTGCCTCGGCACACATGAAAATTACGCACACTGAAATCAATGAACATGCCATAAAATCTCATTCTCAACATTTACTCCTTATTACAAATGCTGTGCTCTTACACTCTACAGCACTGAATAGCAGAGTTCCGCTTAATACAAGAGAGCGGGGAGGGGGGAAACCTGTCTGCAAAATTCTACATGTCTTAAAGCTCAAGGTGATGCAGCGGAGAATATCAGCAAAGCAGTAATCTCCCTTAAAAGGCTTAACTCCTTGCAAAATACTGTTATGCTGCTATACAGCAAGCTTTTGCAAAGAAGGAAAGAAATACAGCACACCTTCAGCAGAATGTGATTTTCCAATTATATTGGATCCTGGCTTAGCTGACAGTGTTCTGATTACAACTTGCTTTTAAAAAAATAAAAGATAAGAAATGAACAATTTGTGAAATGACACATTTTATCCTCTGAAACACTTTCATCCTATCTACTTACTTACTGACCAGAACAAATGTATTGGAAGAGTTATTCTTCCCAGTCTGGATCTCATTACACTAAGTTTTTTGACTTCCTCCTAGAACAACCTGATTTAAGTTTGAATATCCATTTGTAATACTTACATTTGTTTCCTGCTGCTAATATATTCCAGTGATGAAAAGGAATCAGAAAGAGCAGTTTGAAGATTTGAGCAAAAGAATCCATGTCCTCATTGACTGAGGCACCCTGAAGTGCCCGAGTATTCAGAAATGGGGACAGCTGCTCTGCACTTCAGTCCTGTTCCCGCTTCCTCTTCTCTCCTTCTGTTTCTTGCTCTCTGCCTGCCTCTCAGTGCTTCCGAGTAGCCAATAGCTCAGCCAAATGCACTCTGCATCTTCTCCTGTGTGTGTATATATATATACACACACACAGGGAGAGCACAAGATCTGCTCCTTCCCCCTTAAAAACAGCAATCCCTGAAGAGCAGCTGCAAGGATCTCGCCTCTAATTTCACAGAATCACTCAAAGCTAAACTGCAAGACTACCCTGTACAGTTTGGTTACTGAAGCTTCACATTCGTAATGTGTCCTGGACACCCCTTGTGGTGACAGGTAGGAAATGAGAGTCTATGATGAAAGCCAGACAATAAAGAGAGCAGCCTGCACATGTGTGCCTGTACAGCCTTCCCGCTGGATTATGACTGTTCCCAATTATTTATGGTCATGCAAGGGGAAGGGAAACAGAAGCAGAACAAGAGCAGAAGGAAAAAGGCTTTCATCATGACCACCCTTTCCCCCATTTAGTCTGTATTTAATGACAACTTTCACCTGCTCTATCATTCACAAAGACTAAAAAAATGTTGTAATTTTACATCAGAATTTACTATCATGCAACCAAACTGTATTTTGCCATTTTGCAGACAATAATTCTTGTATTCAGCCATAGAACCCCACATTCATCTTCAACTGATGCTGAAGGATATTCCCCTGAGAGTAATTTTTAATAAGATGTGGAGAGCCCAAATTGCTATGAATTGTAACCCCACAGATGTACTTCAAAAGCTCTGTCTTGCAGTTTTTCACATATATTGTAGGGTATAATCACAAACATAAAAGGGAAGGCTAGAAAGACTTTGAACTGTTATTGTGCAGCACTGTTCAGTGGATTTTGAGTTTGAAGTTCTGTAAGGAAGTTACAGATTGTTAACTACTACTTGTAAATGTGATAGTATCTAAACACAAATAAAAGGATAGATACCTCTTCATTGCGAGCCAGGCCATCTTGGTTTCAGTTATCCAATTCTTAGGATTGCTAGAAACATGTTCCATCATAGCCACTGCATGTCCTTGAGACTTGTGGTTGTTGTTTATTTGTCCAGTTGCTTCTGGTTCTTTGTGACCTCGTGGACCAGCCCACACCAGAGCTCCCTGTCAGCCGTGGCAACCCCCAGCTCCTTCAAAGTCAAGGCAGTCATCCAAGGGCAAGATGGATAAATACCACCCATCCATCTTGCCCTTGGTCAGCCCCTCTTCCTTTTTCTTTCCATTTTCCCCAGCATCATTGTCTTCTACAAGTTTTCCTGTCTTCTCATTATGTGCCCAAAGTACTTAATCTTTGCCTCTAATATCTTTCCCTCCAGTGAGCAGTCAGCTTTATTTCCCGGAGTATGGACTGGTTTGATCTTGCAGTCCTAGACACAGAATTTTCCTCCAATGCCACAGTTCAAAAGTGTCCTTTGCTCAGCCTTCTTTATGCTCAAGGTCTCACAACCTTGAGACATAACATTTATTTCCAAAAACAATTACATTCAACCATGACTAAAGAAGAATATCCAGAGAGAGATACCACTGCATATTCTCCACTAGAGACATAAATAAATACTGATCCTATTTATGCTGTTGAAACACTGATCTCAGTTGGGTCAATGAACTGTGTTCTCCATAACATTAACATACCTTTTGAGAAGTGAAACACACACTTGTTCAAGACAAATTGCTATATTTCAGTTCTGAGTAACATAATTTCTAATTAAATGGGTGGTAGCTGATGCGGGGTGGGGGGAGGGTGAATGGGTGCATCAAAAACAACAAACCAAAACAGATGGATGAAAGATTCTAGCAGGTGCTACAAATCAAGATTGTGCCTAAGAATTTTTCATTTTCTCATTTCATCATGGGTTTCTTCCAATTGCATGTGGAAATTCAATTAGTACAAGGTTGAATGAAAAGTAATGCCTCCACCTTCGTAACTCCTCAACAGATGGCAGTACTAGTATACGGCAGGTACTGGCTTGTTCAGTAGACTCTCCTCTACAGTTCCATTTTGGTGGAAACCTTAGCATTGAATGGTTGTGTTGTTAAAGTGAGAAGTATGGAACCCTGCGCAGACCGTCGGTCAATGCGACTTCACCAAGGTATGTGGCAGGTCCTGGCTTGTTCAGTAGACTCTCCTCTACAGATTTATCAGAGAATGCAAGCTGTTTATGGTGATTGTGTTGATGTGAGTACTGTGCATCATTGGGTGAGTAAGTTTAAAGATGTTGAGGTGGGAACATCTGACTTGCGTGACAAACAAAGAGTTGGACGCCCTGTGACAGCAACCATCAAGTTTCACAAGCAAAAGGTTGACAGATTGATTCAGGACAAATCAGAGAGAAATTTCAAGCATAATCGGTATTTCACAAGAATGTGTGGGTCACATTATTGCTTTGCTTGGCAATCGGAAGATCTGTGCACGATCCTAGTGTTGGTGTTCAGCCTGAGTTTGAACTTGAACCTGATTCTCTGTTTGTTCCTCCTGATGCTAATGAGAGTATATTTACTGATGCTAATGGAAATGTACCTCTTGATGCCAATGCTCCTGAAATTAGTGAGGAAGAAACTTCTGTAGATTTGGAAAATGAAAGTACCAGTGTTCATGAGAATGTTTCAGAGGGAAGCCATGACCTTTCACTCCCTTCTGCACCTGGTAACTTTAATGAGAACAGAAGGGGCCAGATCTGGCAAGACAGAAGTAAATCACTCAGCTTGCGAAGGTCTTCCCAATTAAAAGAAATACAAACAACGGCTTCAAAGCAGAGAGGCGGTTCACCGAACCAATTCTTCGGCTTTAAGTGCCTTCCGCCGGGCTGACTTTCTCAGTTCAGGCATCGTTTCAGATTGATGAAGACCTTGGGAGTTCTCCCGGTTTTCCTAGCCATTGTCTTGAAAGATTTCTAGGATATCAAGTACGGTTAGTGGATTGCTAACAGGTTCCAGTATTTTACAGTGTGGCTTTGGGGTTTTTTTTTTGTCCATTTAAATTCATGTTTGCTGATTTTGCTGTGGCTTTTGACTTGCATTTTTCCTTTATTCTGTAACCATTTTTCTTCAATAAAAAAAGGATTGTTTTTCACAGTCAAGTGTGGTGGATAGTTATCTTAGGGCCTCGTTCCCTGCTCTGGATTGCAACACCCAGGATGCTGATGCCTGAAATGAAAGCGCACAGACTTGAAATTTCAGAGACTGGATTTCACCACCATATGGCATCCTCCATATAGTCCAGATTTAACACTGTCTGACTTCCATCCCGATAATGAAAGAAGATCTGCGGGGACATCCTTATGCTTCTGATGAAGACATTGTGAGAACTGTGAGATGCTGGTTGCAGAAACAGTGTCGACTTCTTCCGTGACAGCTTTAGAAAACTTGTTCATCATTGGCAGAAATGTATCCAATTGTCTAGTGATTATGTAGAAAAGTGAATAGTGGTAGTTAAAGAGCACATTCTAAGGATTATTTCTGCATTTGAATTATTAAAATATTCCCACCCAAACCCAAGTAATGAAGGTGGAGGAATTACTTTTCATTCAACCCTCGTAGTTTCTCCAAATGTATGGTGTGATTGGGTTTTCCACCTTTTGCACCTCTGAAATGGATCAGAAGACTTAGATTTCCAAGATAAAAAACCAAACAGATCCCTTTTCCAAAGGCAGGATCTCCCTGGACTGGCTAGATTTTAAACTAACTCTATTTTTATTTCAAGGGTATGAAGCATTAAATCTCACCAAGAGAAATAAGATTAAACTGGATAATTTTTCTAGTGGCAATGCCCATCTGCATAATGCCATAAATTACCACCACATCGTGACATATATTTGCATTTTTGTACTAAAGCAAATATATATTCCTCTACATGATTTCTTTTTTTAAAAAAAAGAGTAAGGTATTTTATAGTTAAGGATTATGAATGTTAAAATTTAAGTCTACTTACATTGACACAAGAATAAATGTAATCATATTTGAATATACAGGAGCTGTGACATTGAAAGAAATGACAGCTGGCTATGAGTTTAAAGAGTATTCACAAATATCTCACCTCCATCAAGAAAAGGTCTTCTGTCACATTGAGAAATCATGTGAAATGTGATTTTAAGGACTTTTTGTGAAAGTTTCAGAGGCTTATCTATCTATCTGGTTGATACCCTTAGAACAACCCCCCCCCCCAAAAAAAACCCTGTTACATGTCTTTTTTCAGAATCTCCAAATGAGAAAATCCTTAGGTAAAAATGCCAAAATCCCCAGTCATTCTGCCCAAGACTAAACTGTAGTTCTCATTCTTGCATGCAATGAATCAACTAAGCGAAGATTTTAATCTCTACTGTGGAATCCCACTTTTTCTCAAACTAGTTATTCTTGTGAATACTGAATACATTAGTTAGCTCAGAACACAGACAAAAAGAAGTGAAACGTATAATTCATGACAAGAACTCATATGCTGTTTTCCTGAGAAATTGAAGATTTAGTCTTTGACTGCATTATTTTGTTCCAAAATTATAAGAACTGTTGTTAATTGTAATGTAAACAAATCTTTGTCTTGTGAAATGATAGAGAATAATCAATTTAAATATGCAATAATAATCACATCTACCTTGAGATTAATAACTGATTGACGAGATCATCCACCTTTCTTGTATGAGTGTACAAAAATTCACATATTTGTATAACACTAAAGATTACCATCATATCGGTTGGATCTCAGTAACACTATTATAACCGAGGTATCTATAACATTCTAACTTTTATAATTATGATGTTCCTTCAAATACTCTATGATTCATATTATGGAGACTGATAAGGGGGAAATAATAATTGACTCACTTTAATGACTACATTCTACCTAGTTTCTTCTCACTATATTCTTCCAACATACACACACAATTATGACATGCTCTCTTTCTTATTGTTTGAGAAGCTATTTAGCTTTCTATTTGAAAGACCCTTTATTTCTTACTTCAAATATGTACTCTCGAAGGACTTAACTGTCACCTCTGCAGTCTTGCCAAACTTTAAACTTGTTTCTTCCTTTCCCTTATTAAAAGTCCTTCTTTCTGTCCTTTTTGTAGTTCACTGACATTAATCATCATTCCATTTAATGTTATCATTGTGGCCTTTTCTCCATGACCCCACTACAGAAAAGAACCAAACTCATTTCTTTTACTCCAAAGCATCTCATTCCATCTTTTATTTCAAGACTGTTCTGTAGAAGAACAAGGCATAGTTTAAATTATCCCAATGGCATTCAAGACTAGTCATTCTCAGATCTTCTACAGGATGGGCCTAAATTAATCATAAAAAGGTCCTACATATAATGTATATGATGCTGTATATTAGATACCATTTA